CCACACTTCAGGGCACTCGAACGGCACCCAAACGAGAAGTGACGAGTGTAGCCTTCGAGGTTGACGCGCAGAAGATAATCTGAATAGGAAACACAAGCTTGTGGTCAATAGTCTTGAAGCCACGTGAGTATTCAGAGTGTAGAGTGTGATGAAGACGTTACGCGCTGGGGGCCTTACTCTCCCCCCCCCCAACTTCCGCTAACTTGCACAAAATCAACTCACTATGAAAGCTCTTCACACCAAAATGTAGTTAAATAATTCTAACTTTTTATTTAAAAAAACCTACTTAGATACAATTACTTCGGATAAGACTTCATTAAAAGTCTTCTGGGATTCCCCATTGAACTTTACATTTCCCTCTATTGGGATAAACTTCAAGATGACGCGCTTCCCCGCCCAACATCGGAATACTTCACCAAAACACCCTTCACCGATTTTTTTCAAATTTTTTCGTAAATTTTTCGAAAAAATTTGAAAAAAATCGGTGAAGGGTGTTTTGGTGAAGTATTCCGATGTTGGGCGGGGAAGCGCGTCATCTTGAAGTTTATCCCAATAGAGGGAAATGTAAAGTTCAATGGGGAATCCCAGAAGACTTTTAATGAAGTCTTATCCGAAGTAATTGTATCTAAGTAGGTTTTTTTAAATAAAAAGTTAGAATTATTTAACTACATTTTGGTGTGAAGAGCTTTCATAGTGAGTTGATTTTGTGCAAGTTAGCGGAAGTTGGGGGGGGGGAGAGTAAGGCCCCCAGCGCGTAACGTCTTCATCACACTCTACACTCTGAATACTCACGTGGCTTCAAGACTATTGACCACAAGCTTGTGTTTCCTATTCAGATTATCTTCTGCGCGTCAACCTCGAAGGCTACACTCGTCACTTCTCGTTTGGGTGCCGTTCGAGTGCCCTGAAGTGTGGTGGATGTCATTTAACAAATGTGTGATCTACAGACCACAATGACATAGATATAAAGGTTTCATTCATCAACAAAGAGAGGAATTCATGTGGACGAAAGGTCAACTTTTTCAGGTCAACAAAATTATAATCGGTACCGATACAATGTCGACTATATGTTTTTGAGAAAATTTCCAGAAACCACCAATCATCAACGATTTCAAGGTGTTCCCAGGAGGGATAACTGACATAAACTCGTGGAGAATGAAGACAAAAAAGCCCAAAAGCTTCGCAAATTGAACAGTCCAATTCAAAGAACACAATTAAGCCAATAAGTTCTTGGCTGGTTCCTGACGATTGTAGCAAATTCTGTTGTAACTTAAGGTGTTGACAATATGGAATTGGTGTATTTATTTCAAATACTTGTTTAAATTCATATGTTTACTTTGCTAAGATATTGATTGACCCAACAAGTTTTCAGGTGATGTGTGTGTTTGTGTGTCGGTAGTTATTTTTAATGGTAGAACGCTCGTCAACTGTGCACGTGTCCCGGGTTCGAATCCTGGTCGACGTACTCCTCCTGAATCTTGCCTAGTTTACTAGCCGTTAGTAAGCCAGGTGGTGAAGAGGTAAATCTTCCGTCGCTCTTTACAGGACTTATTATAGGTTAGGCAAGGTTTAGAAGTAGTGGATTGGTCGGGAGTTGAAACCGGGTCACGTGTGTGTGTGTGGTTGTCACCAGGATTCTGTTATTAAACTATTTATGGATACTGATCACCAGTTCATCCATTAGTCGGGATTTATTTAGCCTCTATGGTACCACATGGTAAAATGTCGTCGTCTGCGTGTACTCACTGTTGAATAGTCTCAGACCAGATGGAAGGTATATATACCACTCCCACTGTCGCCACATTCTAGACGGTTTGATTGAAACCAGACTTGCTTACAGTGTCTTGGATAAGTTACTAGGCTTCCAGCTTTTGGTGAATGCAAGCTCTACTTTCATGTCTCTCCTCCACACACCTTACGAGAATCCGTTTTCATGGTCGTTGTGTATATAGATACCTTAATCAGATTGTTGTATTGGCTATTCATTGAAATAGACCTATGGTGGCGATAGACTACTGGCTTCTGACCCGTTTTTTGTAATCCGATAATTGTGGCTTCCATGCACTGCTAAAGGATCCTAAACTCGAACTGAACACGTTTTATACACCAAGCACAGTCGATACACGTTCAACTCCCAACGGTCGGAATTACATTTTTCATCGTCCCTTTCGAGGTTGTATTTGTATTAACTTTTAAAGAAGTATCTATAACAAAAATGAAACACCTTCATCACAGTCACCCACTCCTTTACAATATACCTCGATTCAGTGGCCGTGATGCCCACAGGTTGAGTAGAATGACAATTATCTGATATGAGCGAATAACAGTTAGTTAGTTAGTTGAAGCCGATCAGCCAACCACGTAGGGAGGTGTAGATTTTGCTGGTTACGGTCCTTGGGATTCTAAGAACCAATGATAATTGGAGAAAATTTGGTGATATGACTCAAAATCCTCGTTCTGAATGGCTGGGGCTGATGCATTCACTCTTTGTGATTTGTTATATCCAATTAGGCTATATTGTTCTCCCATATTACTACTACACCTTTTCCCTCACACTTCTGTTTATTATCTCTCTTTTGAACCTCCCTTTACTCTTTTCTCTTGCTTTGTGTGCTACAAGGAGGAAGAGTGGGGACTCGAACTGCAGAACTTTTGTGTAAAGTTTAATGTTGAAACCAGTTAGTCGGTCAGTCGGCGAATATACACGCCTACTGTCTACAAAGATACTTACCAATATAAATCAAAGTTTGAAGAGTAACATAACTTGAGCTGTTAATAATTAACATCAATTTAGATCTCGTCATAATGGAACACACTAGTCCAAGGTCATTGAAAACAAAGATACAATGAGCAGTTGTTTCGTTGTACTTCGGAACTCTTTGGCAGTGCTCACTCACGATCCAAGCAGCGATCAAACCCTGGACTTTCTAATGACGAGGGAGGCTTGACCTGGATAGATGTCGCAGACAATGGAGTCAACCATATCAAGGCGAAGTGGATGCTCATCGAAGGGCATTCACTCGGCGATAGTCAACGAACTTGTCCTAGCAACCAAAAGGTCCCTGATTCGATCGCTGGTAGGGTGGATCACGAGTGATCACTACTGAGGAGTTTTAAAATAGGAAGAAACAGCTATCCAATATTCCTCGATGGGTTTTAATGGTCTGTGTAACCGGTATCAGTTCATGACGAAATCTATATTGAAATATTCCTACAAAAAAGCCCATAATTGGAAAACAGGAGACACTAATTACATAATCAAAATATTGTGGTGGTACCTTGTGCAATTTGGTGTTACAGCAAGGGCAATTAGAATGCATAAACACTCTCAGAGAGACTTCAACGTTAAAGAGTATACAACTTTAGCATGCAGATTTAAGAAGCATTGAATAAACGGGATGCACCAACAGTTAACAATACTAGTAGACGAAATGATTTCAAATTGTTTGGCTTTAAAATATGTTTACAGGATCTCATTATGAACTGACATAGGTTAGGGAACCAATAGAAAACCGACTGTGAGGAGTGGATAACCAGTCTTTTCGTCTCAGTTTACGATGCTTCAGAAGTACACATCCGCCGTCAGAGTTTGAGTCCATGACTTTCTGGTTACAAGGCCAGCGATCGTAGACCATTATAGGCGACTGGGACTCGATCAAATGGCCAATTCACAATATAACGTGACTGGCACTAATCAATGTCATCCGTGACGACTATTTTTCTTCACACCCGATTTGCTGTACCCTACTGGTCACGGTGAAGCTGAGAGAATACTATCAATGAGTAGAGAACAAAACTAGTGAAACTCCTGACATGACGCTAATCTGACTCCTCATACTGCCATCTCTAATGGTATGTATCTTCATACAGAGTCAAACAAACAGGTTGCGAAAGACACCACAAAATATGTACTTTTCGAAAATTACCATTTGGACGAATCTTTAGAATAATAGTTACCACTATTATTTAAATAAAGCAAGAACAACAGTGGTTAGTGCAGAATACGATGATAGTATACCATCATTGCTCATTGCGTTGACTTCTCATCAGCTGTGTACAGCTCGCAAATTTCACATCATATCGATGAAATAGAAAGCTCAAAAGTTAATAAACAATGCTTAGAAAATTACGCTTATATAGTTGTGCTCTTCTTCTTTCTGTCTTTCCAATAATGTAACTGCTCCCGCAGATTTTTTTTATTTATTCTTCCCTCACATTCTCAGTGGAACATAGCGAGGGCTTCAAGCTACAGGCTTGAAGTTTCTGTAGCAGTGTTTATTTTTCACGGGATGGAGTTTCTGGCCACCTCATGCCCAACCTTTCCTTTTTACCAGCGAGGTAAAGGAGTGTATCGGTCGGGAATCGAATACTGGACCACGCGAAGCGTGGTCGGCGAGTGTCTTTACCGCTGTGCCACCGACGCGGCTCCCGCAGATACGTTTAAATTTGTAATATACAGTTAGAATGAACATGAGAAGACAACAAAATAGATGATGAAACCATTCTATTCTGCTTAGTAAACTGTTGTTCTTGCTTTATTCAAAATTCCTCGAGGGGAATAAATGTATATTAAGGCGGCCTGCTTAAATCATTGGGCTCTCGAAATTACTTTCCTCCAAAATGCTTAATTTCATCTGGATTTATCATTGTTTTAATCGTCCAGTTATATCAAATGACCTATACATAAACTTGCGCGATGATTTAACTTGCTCCCAAGTAAATGCTGTACAATTCTTCAACGAAATGAACATATACTTCAGATTATTACTTTACATGTGAATCCTGTGTAAAGAAAAAAATACTTTGAAACTGAATACGCTGAAAATTTTTGTACCGTATATTCGCATACTGTCTTAAATAAAGTTTAACCATTATTATTATGTATGAGCTAATAATAATGATAATAATAATAATAATAATAATAATAATATTCTACACCATTCAACCTGGAACATGCTTAATCACACTGTGAATAGTAAAATCAAAAGGTGAACTCTCACCTTATCAACTCTACAAAACCGGAAGTGCAGCTTGCGTAGCCCATAGCAAGAGCTGTTAGTTCTCTAAAATAATAAAAATATTATAATAATAATAATAATAAACACATCATATATGCTGAGATACTTAGTATTGTAAAATAGTTGATGTGAATAATAATAACAATAATAAAAATGTTAACGAAAGTTAAATAGTGAACATTGAACGAACGGATCTCCATTTTAGCGGGAGGCAACATAATGCCGATAGTGGTCTAATCGTTCACTGTTTCACAGAAAACTGGAGAAAAAACGATCAGAATTTATCATTGTGATTTATGCTGCTCCTGATGCTTTACTCATAGATTTTGTGTGCTGTAGTAACCACCACCCTGTAGTCCTGGTTCAATGTCAGTAGAGAAATAAATAAACAATCCTCAAATCGCCAATATGTTTTTTTCTGATATCTTCGAATCGGTTACCGTACAGCATAGTATAGCCTGAAGCAGCGATTAGTTCTCTGACAGCAGTGCTAGGTAGATGTGTGTTCAGGATCTTTTCCGATCTGAACAAATGACAGTTTCTGATTTGGCTTCTTCGACAATATATCTGTTCTTATGCACTGGATTCAACATAGAACTTGGCACCGAAGTGCAGCAGTTCGAGTTGCCACGGTCTTATGCACTACAATTTACGACAGACCTAGTACTTTATAGGCACCATAGGAGGGAGGCACATAAAATCGCATACCTTGTGCGAAGGCTGCAATACTAGTTGGACATGCATCCAGACCGAAGCTGAAGAGGATAACTTCCGAGTTTGTGAGTTGAAGTCTGATCTACAAGACAATGGAGTAGCCTCAAAAGCTGTGTTCTCATGGTTCCTAGTGGCTAGAACACGACCATAACCCATTTGATACAACCGGACTCGAGTACATCTATGTACACACCATAGGTTTAGAATCAGGATTTTCCAGTTTCTTCAGGTAAACTTGAATGTCCACCAGTTCAGTTGTAAGCGCCTCACCTTCAAACTCGCCCACTCACACAGCATTTGACGTGAAGGAAGTGAATACGACTTGCCAAACATAGGCTATAAAGGCGTGGTCACATTCTAAGAGAAAGACCGGAGTCTGCCTACCCTCGGCCGGTCGTACTAAATTGTTAATACGAGCTAAGGTTATTCAAGTAACCAAAAAAATCCTATATCTTGACCCATTCTACCTAAATATGGTTTGGACGGAAAAGTACTGCAATCACCATGATTATTATTATGACACGACTTAAAATTGCTGTAAACTAATAATTTGGTTACGAACCGACTTCAGTTGGTGAAACCAGTAATAAACAGGGAATACTGAAAACGTGTTCAGTTCGAGTTTAGGATCCTTTAGCAGTGCATGGAAGCCACAATTATCGGATTACAAAAAACGGGTCAGAAGCCAGTAGTCTATCGCCACCATAGGTCTATTTCAATGAATAGCCAATACAACAATCTGATTAAGGTATCTATATACACAACGACCATGAAAACGGATTCTCGTAAGGTGTGTGGAGGAGAGACATGAAAGTAGAGCTTGCATTCACCAAAAGCTGGAAGCCTAGTAACTTATCCAAGACACTGTAAGCAAGTCTGGTTTCAATCAAACCGTCTAGAATGTGGCGACAGTGGGAGTGGTATATATACCTTCCATCTGGTCTGAGACTATTCAACAGTGAGTACACGCAGACGACGACATTTTACCATGTGGTACCATAGAGGCTAAATAAATCCCGACTAATGGATGAACTGGTGATCAGTATCCATAAATAGTTTAATAACAGAATCCTGGTGACAACCACACACACACACGTGACCCGGTTTCAACTCCCGACCAATCCACTACTTCTAAACCTTGCCTAACCTATAATAAGTCCTGTAAAGAGCGACGGAAGATTTACCTCTTCACCACCTGGCTTACTAACGGCTAGTAAACTAGGCAAGATTCAGGAGGAGTACGTCGACCAGGATTCGAACCCGGGACACGTGCACAGTTGACGAGCGTTCTACCATTAAAAATAACTACCGACACACAAACACACACATCACCTGAAAACTTGTTGGGTCAATCAATATCTTAGCAAAGTAAACATATGAATTTAAACAAGTATTTGAAATAAATACACCAATTCCATATTGTCAACACCTTAAGTTACAACAGAATTTGCTACAATCGTCAGGAACCAGCCAAGAACTTATTGGCTTAATTGTGTTCTTTGAATTGGACTGTTCAATTTGCGAAGCTTTTGGGCTTTTTTGTCTTCATTCTCCACGAGTTTATGTCAGTTATCCCTCCTGGGAACACCTTGAAATCGTTGATGATTGGTGGTTTCTGGAAATTTTCTCAAAAACATATAGTCGACATTGTATCGGTACCGATTATAATTTTGTTGACCTGAAAAAGTTGACCTTTCGTCCACATGAATTCCTCTCTTTGTTGATGAATGAAACCTTTATATCTATGTCATTGTGGTCTGTAGATCACACATTTGTTAAATGACATCCACCACACTTCAGGGCACTCGAACGGCACCCAAACGAGAAGTGACGAGTGTAGCCTTCGAGGTTGACGCGCAGAAGATAATCTGAATAGGAAACACAAGCTTGTGGTCAATAGTCTTGAAGCCACGTGAGTATTCAGAGTGTAGAGTGTGATGAAGACGTTACGCGCTGGGGGCCTTACTCTCCCCCCCCCCAACTTCCGCTAACTTGCACAAAATCAACTCACTATGAAAGCTCTTCACACCAAAATGTAGTTAAATAATTCTAACTTTTTATTTAAAAAAACCTACTTAGATACAATTACTTCGGATAAGACTTCATTAAAAGTCTTCTGGGATTCCCCATTGAACTTTACATTTCCCTCTATTGGGATAAACTTCAAGACGACGCGCTTCCCCGCCCAACATCGGAATACTTCACCAAAACACCCTTCACCGATTTTTTTCAAATTTTTTCGTCGACTATCAAATTTCCAACAATAAAAACAACAACAACAAAATATGTATTTGTTTATCACACACTTAAAAGGATTTCGATGAGAAATAAAAAAGAATTAAATAGATCTTTGTGTAGGAAATAAATTTTATAATATATGATAAAATTAAATAAACTTTGAAATGAAATTTGTAGAGAATTCGAAAAATGGATAATCAATAATTCAGATTGTCGCAGATGAAGAGAGGCACTCAACACAAACCAGTCGATCGATCAAACGTTCAAAATAATGCCTGAACTAATTAATACAGCACATCCACACAAAACCCAGAATAAACCTGTTCAGTGTATTGTATAAGGGTGTAAATACACAGAGGTATTGTAACGGTAGAAGACAAGAGACTTAGTAAAGGAATATATATTTCGAATTCGGTATCTCTATGTGGGGGAAGTATGTACACCTTATCTTCAAATCACCTTTTGAACAGATCTTCCGTGTTCCCCTTAACATTCCCCATGTATCTCCTCAACGCTGTATCATCCATTTGCTTTCTTTGACATTCAATCTATCTCCCTGCTAATTGATGTTTTATGCCAATGACCAACTCTTTATATATATATATATATATATTTATGTATACTACTCATAAATCTTATGAGTAGCACACGCCGCAGTGGTACCGCTTACTACTGCACTGTGAACAACATGATGCAAGCGTGTGCTACTGACAAGATTTATCAGTGGCATATATCGACGTAGATAGATAGAAAGTAGCCAAAATTGAAAACAACATTTCAACTCAGTGGCTACAGAAGTAGAGGCGCCTATTTCTTACATCTGGATTCAGCTTATGTTGTGGTCAGGAAACAGTCTCAAGTTTCACTTTCTTTCAGAAAATCAGCAACCAATCGAAACAGTTTATTGACCGTTGACCTAGTTGACCATAAATGTGGCTAAAAATGTAAAAGTATGATGTAGCTCTCCTTAATAGGAAAGTCTGTTGCGTCGGTGGCACAGTGGTTAGGACTCTCGCCGACCATGCACATGGTCCGGGGCTCGAGCCCACGCCGACGCACACCTGATATCTATGGTCGGCCTGAGAAATTTGGGCTACCGATATCCACGCTGAAAATTCCATACTTGTACCAAACGTACAGTGTGGAATCAAGCTGTAATCAAAAGTAAAAAAGTAAAGTAAAAGTAAAGTGAATCTCTTGTCTTTTCCTGTTCAAAATCTATCACCAGACAAGAAACTATAACCCAAATAATATGCCATATGAAACGAATGTCGATTGAAACGATGAACTGAGCACATGGCGGTGACACAGGAGATATTATGTGAACAGTAGTGTAAGGAAGGAAAGACCGATGAGGCTTAAAGGATAAGCTCATTGTAGGTACATAAATCTAGCGCATCATATCCCCAATGTTTTAATTGCATATCATTCGCAAATTGGTCGAATATCACCCACCACATTCAATAGCTTGTTAGATTCTGTACAGCGTTTGCAACATTCTTTTCACAGTTCTGTACTTCGATTGCCTTCTTTCAGTGTCCGAAACGTTTTGTTACTTTTCTGAATTCGTTTACTGATATACTACTTATATCTGATTGTAAGTAGCACTCACCACAGTAGTATTCATAGAACCGGTTAAAAAAAGAAACGACAGCAGGGAAATGAAAGAGCAATGAAGAGGTGCCCCCTCCGCCTAACAGAGAACCCAAAGAACGAATAATAACAACAACAACAAATACTACTACTATTACTTCCAACAAAGTCTTTTTTCAAAAATAAGTGTAACTTACTTAGGAAATAAAAGTTGAGTAAATGATTTGTAGTCAGTTTGTCCACGAATCTTTAATAACGCTCCTTTAGCATCCCCAGCTACAAATAATTCCTACACAAACATTTTAAGTAAAATGGAAAATAGTTTTAGTGAGATTGAATGACAACCACTCAATATTGACTGACTGACTGACTGAAATATCAGGTTGTTGTTGTTTTTTGTTCAAGTTTATCAATAGGGAAATAATTGTTTAGTCAGTCTGTCTGGATTCAACATAGAACTTCGGTGCCAAGTTCTATGTTGAATCCAGACAGACAGACAGACTGACTAAACAATTATTTCCCTATTGATAAACTTGAACAAAAACCAACAACAACCTGATATTTCAGGTAAGAGATCTCAGGACGACATCAGTAGGAGGGACCAATGTTCAAGTGACAAATAAGCTCGCCTAGCAACTCATAGGATCTAGGTTCACACAGTCATCGATGGAGTCACGGAGGAGCACTGATGAAGAGTTGCGAACTAGGACGAAACAGATATCCAGTATCACTCCCTGTTTGTGCCATCCAAAGCCTCAGGATGGTCGGGGGTGGGTGTCTTGCGCTGCGGGTTGGCCACCCCTCCGCACACCTCTTGAAATGCTCCCATATGACCGTGCGTCTTACATAGCCTCTCCTGAGGAAGTCCTACTCACTGCCTTCACGTGGCGGAGGTGTTTCTCACTAAAGTGAGAGGGCAAAAGCGGATGCCCGGCGCTCTCCACCGGGTTGACTGTCCATTGGATGACAGTCTAGGGGAGATGGCTAAACCCTGATTCCAAACCTCCAACGATTGGCGTATGAAGCTCACTGGAGCTCACCGGCAGACGTATGGACAAAGGGCTTGTTGGATGTCCTGGATGTCTGGCCCCATTCAAAAAGGCGTATGAACCGAACTCCGGTCACCGGCTGCCAATGGATAGTGGACTCCTTACTCCACTCCTACTGCCTTGTAGGTCACACTTGGCTGTGTAAAGGCTAGAGCTGCACTCTCAAACAAAAGGCCGAGCGATGCTGGGGACATCACTCGTACCAAATTCCCAAGAAACTTCATGAACTCTCCTACAAACAACTCTCACCATGCTACGGCGTTCCCGGTAAGCGACGCGCCCTGTGCTCACCCGGTGGCCAGTGTGAAAAGTAAGCTAGCTGGGAAATTAACACTTAGAAACCAACTATTTGTTGGCTGCTGGAATGTTAGGACGCTGTTGGATCCTGGTAGCCAGTCTATCACCATGCGTTCTTTATATGACTACAAGGTAGACATAGCGTGTCTATCTGAAGTGAGGTTACCCGATCATGGCTCCCGCCGAATAGCCGTACCTGGAACACATTCTTCATTCTGGTTGCTTCATAGTGGACCCCAGAATAATTCGGGACAATATGGGGTAGCATTTGCTCTCAGTAACAAAGCCAATAATGCCCTAATATCATTCGAACCGGTCAACTCCAGAGTTGCAATCGCTAGGTTCAAGGGTTCCCCGCTCGACATTTCTGTTCTCGCTGTCTATGCCCCAACCCTCGACTCTGATGAAAGTATCAAAGACGAATTTTATGACAATCTTCAAGAGGCAATCAACAAAATCCCAAAGCGTGACGTTCTCATAGTAGCCGGCGATTGGAACGCCCGCACTGGCCCTTCAGACGACGCGACAAAACATATACTAGGCAAACACGGTCTCGATCAGCGCTGCCGTAATGGTGATAGACTTTTATCTTTTTCTGATTACAATCGATTATATATCACCAACACTCGATTTCAACACCCCAGAAAACATCTTCTCACCTGGTATTCGAACGACGGTCGCACTGCACATCAGATCGACTACATCCTAGTGCGCTCACGCTGGATCTCCTCGGTGGAAGACTGTCGATCCTATCGTGGAGCAGAGGCCGGAAATAAAGGGGGATCAGACCATACTCTAGTTAGGGCGAAATTCAAACTTCGTTTAAAGACACGCCAGAAGACGCGACCTCCGAAGCGTATCAATGTTGCCCCGCTTCAATGTTCTACAAGACGACAAGCCTTGTCCAAACAAATCCAGGCCGAACTAAGCACCGCAGATGAACCAACATCCACATCTTCTAATACACCCGAGACACGATGGAATCATTTCAAAGAAGTAGTCTCTAAAGCTTCAATGACGCATTTGGGTACCACATCCAAGAAGCAGAAAGACTGGATTTCAGAGCACACCATGCTTCTATCCTCGCAAGCCAGAGACGCTCGCCTAGCAAAGTCTCCAGTTTATCGCTCCCTCAGGCGCAAAGCTACACAGTCTGCTAGGAACGACAGAAATCGCTATTGGTCTAACGTGGCGACTAACATGGAAGCAGCAACAAATGTAGGCGATTTCGGAAAACTTTATCGCCTCTTACGCCAATCATCTGGCAAACGCCTTAACAGTCATGCTGTGTTACGCACAGCATCAGGAGAAATTATTTCGGACACCAATGGTAAGATGGAAAGATGGGCCGAATACTTCAAGCAGCTACTCAATCGCGACGCTGGTCAACCGTCTCATCGACCGATACGACACTTACCAACACCCTACGTAGTTGACTGCGATCCACCCACTCCAACCGAAATAGCTAAAACAATTAACACACTCAGAAACAAAAAAGCTCCGGGCGAAGATGGTCTACCCCCAGAAATATACAAGGCCTGCACTCCAGCGCTAATCGATGCACTGCACTCGCTGTTCTGCTCAATTTGGGAGTCCGAAACCATTCCTTCCGATTGGAGCACCTCAGTTCTGCTACCGTTCCACAAAAAGGGAGACAGGTCAATATGCGAGAACTACCGAGGCATAAGTCTGATTGATATCGCTGCTAAGGTTTTTGTTTCCATTCTCCTGAACCGCTTCGCGGCCGAACGCCACGTGCGAACAAGGCCAAATCAAGCCGGATTTCGACCTGGAAGAGGCTGTGTTGATCAATTATTCACACTGCGAAGAATTTTGGAACACAGGGACAAATTCCAACAGCCGACGGTTGCCTGCTTCATCGACTTCCAAGCGGCATTCGACTCAGTTGATCGAGGAGCACTCTGGTATCTAATGGAGCTCGACGGAGTTCCGACCAAGCTAATCAACCTGCTCAGGTCATACTACTCCAACACCAAAGCTCGAGTCCGAGTGAACGGTGAAGAGTCCCGCACTTTTGAGGTAACCAGCGGTGTCCGGCAAGGTTGTCCAGCATCCCCCATCCTGTTCAATTTCACAGTTGATTGGATTTTGCGGCACGCCCTAACCGAGCACCACGGCGTCCAACTTTCGCCCGATATTCACATAACCGACCTCGAATTCGCCGACGACGTCGTGCTGTTAGCTGAAAACTTCCCCGATATGCAACAGGCGCTCGACCAGATAAACCACCTCGCGTCTACTATCGGTTTGAAAATTAACACTTCCAAGACCAAAATGTTTTCGAACACATCCGCCGGCAATGATGAAATCTTATCCTTAAATGGAGCACCTATTGAAATTGTGCCATCCTTCAGATATCTGGGATCCATAATGCTCCCCAACGGCCAAGCGAAAAACGAAGTGAATGCGCGAATCTCCAACGCCCGGAATGCGTTTCTACAGCTGAGGAGCGTTCTATGGAGCAAGAGAGAAATCAGTCTCAGGACTAAAATTCGGATCTACCAAGCTTCCATACGACCCGTTCTGCTGTATGGCTGTGAAACCTGGCCTCTTCGCGCGGAAGATTTACGCAGACTCGAGGTATTAGACCATTGGTGTCTCAGGTACATTCTGCATGTTCGTTGGCAGGACAAACTCTCCAACGAAGAAGTGCGTCGGCGTTGCTACAACATCAACCAAATTCCAGTACTGGTCCAACAACGCCGCCTTCGGTGGTTTGGCCATGTTCTGCGCCGACCAGATGACGATCTGGTCAAATCAGTTCTAAATCCCTCGCCATTACCATCTTGGCGATGTCGCAGAGGCGGACAGCTGAAGACATGGCTTGGTACAGTCAAGGCAGATATGGAGTGCCTGGGGCTACAAACGGTCTACGGACTCCGTATGTGGAACAAGAATTGGATATCCCTATCACAAAACCTTGCTTCAGATCGCCGCGCCTGGGCAGCGATGATTCGAGACGTTCATGAAGCCGGCTCATCCTCCCGTAGGAGATAGCCGAAGTAAAGTAAAGTAAGTAAGTACTCCCTGTTTGTGTTTTTTTAATCTCCCTCTCTAATCGATATCACTGCATAACTTAACTTGAAGAAGCCGATCATAGCCTTGTAAACCAAACACACTGAAAATAATTGGATATCACACTTTATTTGGTCAGATCTTGTGAACAACTGCATACAGCCTTAAACACTTATGGTGGTATCTATACACACAAAATATTTACATACTTTAATTATTTATAGCAAGGAGATTGAAGCCACCAGTGTTATGTAATTCACTATACGAAGGATAAGTTAAAAGACAAAACCAGCAAATGTTAATAAGCGTGTATTGGAAAATATCAAGTTGTATGCAGTTGACGATAACCAACAAAATAAAACGATATCTTTCTTGATATAAGCATAAAACTTCGACACTTTGTTAGAGGATAACTCAATTATGGATAAGATGTTATTTCGATAAGTCGAACAGTGTTGTGAAGTAATATTTACTGATCACCACGTTTCGAGCACAAACTACTGCCACTCATAATCATATCAAGTCACTCATACAACTTTTTACCTCAGTTATACGTGTGGAATTGACCAGATACTTGAATATAAATCAATATAGGATAATGTGCATTCAGAAATGTCTTATCAGTCAAATACAGTCAGATGGGAAATAAGACGAGTGTTTCTTTTATAGTCAAAATAAGTGAGTAACTTGTTAGAATGCTGTGATGATGTACGTGAATTGAATTGAAATAGAATACAATTTGAGATTATTTATCATCCTCCTCTGATTTCACTGACTGACTGGTGATAGTAATATCTTCCATGCATATCTCGGGCATTTGCATTGAGTCATTCCTATTTCATGTGTTGGTTGTGTAGACTCGATGAACCAGGTAGGATTCAGTAATCAACCTCTCTCTCTCTCTCTCCACTTACCTAGATTACTTCTTAGAATTTTAATCCTCTCCCACCACGCGATTGTGTGGATGTGTGTTAATGGATGTAGTGCAATGTAGTGTTAAGCTTTTTTCTAAATTACTTATCTTCTCGGGTGGGGTCAACCATTCTTACCCTAGCTAAATTCTTATGTTCTGACAGACAATCTGACTACTCCTCACCTACTAGTTTGACCTATGTAGTTGACCTAACTCACAGTCATTGCGAAGTATTTTGTAAATGAGATTATTTTGTTTAATTGGGTCCACCGGGTCTCCTAGCCTACAGAGCTTGTCCTACCTGAGTGAGTCTTTAGGTTTGAATGCTACCACTCTAGTTCCTGCTTTATTAAGAATCCTACGTAGGGTCTCAAATGTCCCCTCCTTATATGGTGAATCTACTGTAGATGCCGCCTTACATTCTCTCTTATTCATGTTATAATTACTGGTTTCACAATTATTTCTATTTTGTTTTTGGTCTTTTTCGATCTTTCTAATGAATTTTAAAGCATAGTTATTTAACACCGAAGCGTCTTCTATCTGTTTTATTTCGTCATTTAGGTCTTTTCTTGTGCTACTTAGTGCTATAGCTCGGTTTGTTAAACACTTCACTAAGCCTGCCTTAACAGTTAACGGATGAGATGAATTAAAGTCTAAATATCTATTAGAATGCGTTGGTTTTCTATAAACACTAGTGTGTAGTTTGCCTTCTATTCGCTTTATTTTAGAATCTAACACCACAACTGATTCGCCTCGTTCATTTTTCGATTCAAATGTGAATTTTATTCCCTCCAGTAGTGAGTTCATGTGTGTCAAGAAGCTAGAGAGAGATATGTTCTGTTTTTAACACTGTGAAAGTGTCATCCACACATCTCCACCATATTTTCGGAGTAGGATCGAGTGTTCTATTAAAAGCAATATTTTCCCACCTGTCCATAAATATATCTCCTACGATAGGGGACATTGGTGATCCATGCCAGTGCTACACCTTCTGTTTGTCTATATATTTTCCCCTGGAATTTAAACATAGTAGATGCGAGTGAGACATAACTGAATTCCTAAAATAATTTCTTCAATGGGTAGCTTCGTCCTATGAGTTGATATGATTATGTGCAATAGTTTGTGCTCGAAACGTCATCAGTTAATATCATTATGTAACACTGTGTGATTTATCAAAATAAAATCTTATCCATAATGATATCCTTCTGTTTTTGTTATTACTATTATTATTCCCTTGGGATTCCATGGGGGAACATACGGCTTCAACAGAGCATCTCCCATTTTGGCCTTTTCCCTTCAGTTGACTCCACAATTGCCCCCAAGCTTCCATCTCTTCCTCTCACACAATCTCCGTCATCATGTCACCGTCAAACCCAGACCGAACTCATCGTTCCGCATTTGGATTCCAGTCGAGGGTTTGTCTGGCCCACGATGTCACCCGACAGCCTTCTCAACGATGTATTCGATCCATCGCTATTTTCCCCGGCATATACTTGTTGTTGAGCAACAGGTTATTGGTTGGTTCGTTCGTTCCTGGAGAGTTTTTGTTGCTTATATATTCTCTGGCCAGTCATCTGATAATCTTCAGTATGGAGCCAGAGAAAGCAGCTGTTGATAAAAGGCGTCCTATTATCCTAATTAATCAGTTGCTCTTTCTTTCTTTGTTCAAGCGTTCATCATACTCTAAATTGGAACAATCGACTAGAATCTGAGTGCTCAGTAAATAGGTGCTCTCTCTCTCTCTCTAACTGATGTCATTCCATGGTTAAACTGAAAACAATTCAAATCCTTACAACAAACTAACACTTGAAAAAAATAATTGTAACAATTTTGAACAAGAAATAACTCACCATGTATGAACGATTTAATATCATATTTTCACGACGAAAGTGTCGAGTTAATCGTTTTGTGTATGTACTCGACTTTTTCCCAGATCCAATAGGTCTACTCAATCCTGGGGATTGAAATTGACAGTCTTGTTGTTGACAGTTTTGTCTGTGTTCATCTGAAGGACTACACTGTGACAGCTGAGGGGGATTGGAGAAATCGATTGCAGTGAGTTGAACAACCTTCATTGAGAAATAAGCAAACATAAATAAACAAATAAATAAATGAGTACAATACAAAAATTAAAACTGTGGCATTGGCCAACTGACAAGATTTATAAGTAGTAGTAGTAGTGGTAGTAGTATATAGACACATAAAAATATGTATATCATCTGCAAGGATATTGAAAAGCGGAAAGATGGATTTAATGCTGAAGTGTGAAGGAATGAACGATGCCTGTGAAACACACAACATCAGAAACATGGAAGGAAGACATAGGAGCACCCATACACAAGGTTAAAGTCACACAATATCGAAGATAGGTGCAAATTGTAATTATATATAATGTGTAGTAGACGTATTTTGCTTATATCTGTACATCGAGTTGCTGATAAAGCCAATAAAGGTTACTGAAATATGCCGATTTTAGTAATATAACCCCATCTCTCGCATGGCCTACTACAGCAAGGGTAGTCGGAATTCACCTGAACAAGCAAAATCGGTGTGTTCAAAAGAAATTTGTACAGCTACTTTCAGAGCACTGTTCACTAATTGTGGAACCTTCTGTCAACTGACATCATGAAAAAAAATTTGCAAGTATGTTAAAACTTTTCTGTACATAAACCGCATACTTTATTTAGGCTGTTAGCAGCTGAGCTGATGAGAAGCCAACGAAATAAGCAATGATGGCACCATATTATTCTGCATAAACCTCTGTTGCTCTTGCTTTATTCAAATAATCCATTCACTTCACCCGCAGCCCCAACTTAGTGTCTCCTCAGGTAAAACAAGAAGTCTTTTCAGAAGACTTTATGCACGTACGTCTAAGTATAAAAGTAATTCCACTATACCATATTTCGCGTCACGTACTTGATGTGATGAAAATAGTGTTCGTCGTAAACTAATTAACCTTCTTTGCACTACTAAATAAACCAATCTCCTCCACCCTTACAACATCAACCTTCATTGTTATTGTACTTCTTATATTTATAATCCTCTCAATTTTTCGCTCTTATCTGTTTATATTTTCATAAGTGTGAACATCATTAAAGCTGTGTTATAAGTGTTAATTTTGTATTTCCCCTCACCATGCTGCTATATCAACAGAACAATAGATTCAATAATCTATAACATGCTAAAATTTCCAAACAAACCCACTGTTATTATTATATTTAATATTCTCAATTCGTGCTTCGAATATTTTTGACTTTATATCGTAAACGTGGACAAATTCCTCTGGTTAATTTTGTTCATATTTTGAGTAAGTCAGATGCAATATTGTGACAAATGCTAAGAATTCCATTCTGTATTATAAGTACTCTTTTTGAAATAAAGCAGATTATTATTTTCTCCTCTTGTAGCTATATTTCAACCTTGTTATTTTTTGCAATTCTAGCTAATCCCATTAACTTGTTTGTAGTTTACGTAACTCTTCCGAGTCATCATGACTATTTTACAAATCTCTTGATTATGTAATAACTTCTTGCTTAGCTAACCCCTACGAATTAACATATCTTGAATTACGTAATTAACTAATTTTCACCTCTGCCTCATTCAAAACTTGGATATCATGTTCACTAACATCTATTAGTTAATTGTTTTGATGACTTTTAACCCCCTGAATTTCACCCGCCAACACCTAAAGCTGATAGACTAAAAGAAACCACATGATGGGTAAAATTTTCATATACATATATTAGTAATGTAGAGCCAGGTGATGATGAGGAACTAATCTGAAAGGAATACATATTTCTTTGCTCACTTTGTTGTTACTTGAAATATTGACAATGAAAAAGGGTTAAAAGAGTCGACCCAAAAGGAATGCTCTATACCTACTTACCAGTTCACGGCTAAGTAATGAAAGTGAGTAATGTGTTGCATTATTATGGTCACCATTATTATTGTGTTGTAATGGTGTGTCCTTTAGATGGTGGTAATCCAACTGTGATAAAGTCTTCTCCATTTCACAGGCTGACGATTTATTCTGATTTGCAAAAACCGGATGAATCGGTGTCACCTAAAATCACACATTTTATAAAAACATATAAATTTCCTACCCTAAAAAAATCACTCAGAACAAACAAAGCTGCATTCTAATTAATGCAATATAAAATACAATAAGAGTTAATTAGTCATTATTCAGTAAGATTACAATAGTCTTTATTAAAGCATCAACAACACAACTACCACCACCTCCAATAGTTTTTGAACGCATTTTCTGTGATTCACATTAAACGGCGAAATCAGACTATAAGCACCACTAACTACCAAACAGCAAGCAAATGACTCCGAACGCACCAATCACGTGAAGGAGGCATTTTTGTGTATGCAATACATATATTTAGGGGGAAAATGCTAAAAGCTGTAGAAGTGTTACAGAAGATACCTACCTACCTCTCACATGTGATAAAAATAGATCTCATTTTTAGGTTGGAGTATCAACAGAGTAATTTAACCACATTCTATGCAGGTAATTATTTAGTTCTTCTAACCCTAAAGTGAAAATATCCCTAAACTAACTGTAATCTAACGCCAACCAACCCTAATGTCGCCTTTATTAGGTTAACCTAACCCTAACTTGTCCTTGGCCTAAACCGTAACTTAATCTTTCCCGAAGCTAAGCGGAAACTTGCCGGGTATCCCATTTAATAACATGACACTTCGATGAGCATATTTTATTGATGACAACATTATTTGCTAGGTTTCACTAACTGGCTCAGTGAGCGTTTCAAGGTCATTGATGCGGTAATTAGTGGTGCTTAAAGTTTAACTTCACCTATTAAACTAAGCACTTAATTCACTCAATTCAGTAAGAATAATGTTATTTCCAGTGGAATATTAATGTAGAATGATTACTTCTTTTCAAGTTAGATTACGAACTGGAATTAGTGAGAGAATCATTGGAAACTAGGGAGCATTGGACAGCTGTTCCACCAAAATTTGGGACTCTTCACCAGACAGCACTCATACCTCCAACTCTCAACTAGAGATAAAGCCTAGGACCTTCAGGATACAATGAGAGCCCATTGATTACTCAGCTACGTCGATAGAATTGAATGACAAATGAATTAAAACACCTGCTAATTTGTGATACATAGTGCAACCGCCAGCTGATGGCATCAGTGAGCATACATTCCCCTTAATACCTCATATTTTGGTGGATTCCACTGGTCCTTACTACTTCTCAATAGAACCCCAAGCAACTTCATACTGCAGTCAGTCACTATCAGGAACCCAAGGCTTCAAAGTCCAGAAGATGGTCAAAAGTTCATACTCTAAATGAAAATAGGGAGTGAACTGGCAGACAGTACTAACCATTTCACTTATTTCGGAAGTTGCATCAGCCTCAACGGGCTGATTGCCAATAAAATCTTAACAAAGATACAAAAGGTTCATGTGACATTCCCAAACTTACACCATCTCTGGCTTAGTAGACGTGATATCCGGCTGCCTATTGATCACAGGACGTGTGTAATGTACGGAAGCAGTTCGCTCCGTCCTCCCTTATGGCTGTAAGACATGATCATTGATTGAAAGTAGAAGATATGAAACTCCTAACCAGCTGTCTTTGATTATGGGTATCTGAACTCTATCCCCCGAGTTTCGTATCATAATAGGGTGAGCAATATTGGAGTTAGGCATCAGTTGAGTGCTAAATAGGAAGGGGAAATCAGTCGACGGAGTTGTGAAGCTACATCAATTAAGATAGTTGAAAGATGTGTTACACATGCCTAGCCATCGCCTTTCTCGACGACGGGCTATATTATCTGATATGGGATCAGGTTGGAAAAGAGCTCTTGATGATGGTCAAACCACAACTTGGAATTAGTCCTTTAGAGGCCTTGACAGTAAGTTCCAGATAGTCACGTTGAGAGATGTAGGCTTCTTACTTAAGGTCCTCCGGATGCTAAGAACTAATGAAGGCTGGAGACAATTGGTGATATGGCTCGAAATCGTTCTCGATGATGGCGCAGATGCATTCCACTCCTTATGATTTCTCATATCCGCTAATCCCTAATGCTTTTCCATGTTTCTGTTCTTCTCACCTTAAATTTCTGCATATCATTGTTCTTTTCTATCGCTAATCTGACTGGGAGTGTGGCAATTTGGACTGTCCTACCTCTCTGCAAAGTTCTATGTCAAAACCAGCTAACCAGTCGTACTCTAAAGCTACAAACAAGGACGAAGTAGTTGTCCAATACTCCGAGATGTTCAACGATTCTCCAACTGCTGTTGTATCTTAGTGAACATTCTACATTATCCCTTCTTTTGATTGTAATTTTATATAAACATCTTTTGTGCACACTGAATTCATTTGCTAAAAAAGCCTATAGTCGACACCACATGTTTAAAATGAGCTTTGAAATAAATGAAATCTCTTCCAGTGCCAGATACATTCATTAATACGCTTGCATGACTCAACAGAACAATTGAGAAATAACACAAAACAACAACAACGACAACTTTCTGTTAATCCAAATGAGGCTCGTTAACTACTTTTTGCTTTGGTTACGTGACTAAATATGCCACCCCATGTTGCTGGCTTCTTTTAACTTTTCTTCATAGTAATAAAAGAGCGGAGATTGGTTGTATGGACTTACACAAGGAAGAAAGGAGGAAATTACAATTATGTTTACCGCTGCTAATTGTGACTTTTGCCTGCCTATACCCGATAATATCTCAAGCCAACGATTCGAATTATCTCTTCGATTCTACACAAGAAGGCGTTATGTACCAACAGACTTTAACCTAACTAGTATGAATAGTCTTTATCCTACTACCACGCTCCTGATGCTGCTTCACTGTCTTGTGGATCACACCTCAAGTCAAAGGCATGGGAAGGGACAGTCCTTCAAGACAACCATCTGACTCAGTCTCGGAGTACGGGTAGTATCCCAACCCTTGTCTGGCGCATCATTCGATACCCATGATGTACCAATTTCGTATTTTCATGATGACAATAGTAATTAGTTAGTAATAAGACTAACACGTCGTTTCTTACACTAACAAAGCCACCATTCTTCATAGTTCGACCAAACTTTTCATAGAACTGGGTACACTGCTGTCTGGAAAAAGAACTATTCAACAAATTAGAAGACGTTTTGTCTGGAATTCTCAAATATTTTAATAAATTTTAGTAATGATGTGTTATTGAGTAACACACAGAGTCAAGTATACAGGGGTGGGAGAGCAGACGGATCGATGTTTAACTCCGCATAAAAGTAAGTCATACAACACATTCAGAAATCATGGAGAAGATTTGTAGCTAAGGTGGATGACTTTGGCGTAGGTGCGTTATCCAAACTGAATGGCCTACTAATCGCGCTAAGCTCATTGTCTTCCTAACTTCATCGTACATCAAAAATGCATACTGATGTCAATGGCTTTGACTGAACGCACCAATATGCACGTCATTGATGGATATCCCGAATTTCGATGCCCAAAATATGAAGGCTGTATATATTTCTACAAAATATAACCCTCTCCTCTATTTACTCAAAAATTTGACTTTTATATCAGCTGTAAAAATCAATCGTTCTTATACTGACTACAGTAGACGCGATAAAACCTAGTCAACCTACGAGATTAAGTAATGTTCAACATCTAGTCATAATAGTACAAACAAATCGGACAAGTGTTCCGACGCTTTTCTCTCTACCTACCTACATGTAAGCAACTTCAATACCTCGTTTAATTTCATAATCTCAATTGCAATATAATGCGTCAGAATACATCAACAGAATAGAAAACACAATGTGTGCATTTGTGCAACTCATTAACTACTTCACAACCTATGCAATGGTTCATAGACAACTAGTGTGCAGAAAAACGTACAACACCACATAAGAACGCAAGCCCCTTCATGAAACAGTGATTCATCTTGTTGTTTACAAGTTGACTGCCTGTTTCCAACATAGAAATTGCACCGATGTACAGCAGTTCAAGTCGCCACACTGCTTCTTTGCAGCACAGCACACAAAGCAAGAGAAGAAAGTTGAAGGAATGCAAAATAGAGACAGTAGACAGGGATATCAGACAAAAGGAATAGTAATAACAAAGAACGATATAGTTTCATTGGAAATTATAAGTCACAAGAAGTGGATGCATCTGCACAAGCCATTGAGAACGATTTGGAGCCATATCACCGATTGTCTTCAGATATTGATTTCTACCGTCCCGAGGACCTCAACCAGGAAGTCTAAATCCTTTCACGTGGCTTAAACTAATTGTTGTGGATTTCATTGACTAGTGAAGCCATGTTTTGATTTGATCACCGCTAGCTAGCTTTTTTCCAGACTGACTCTATGTCAGCTAACATTTCCTGTCAGTCGAGGAAGGCGAAGACCCAACATGCCTAACACATGCCCTAACCATCTCAGTCCATGTAATTTCACAGCCTCGTCGATTGATTTCCCCTGCCTATTTAGCACTCGACTGATGCCTAACCCCAATATTGCTCACCATATTATAACACCTCCTAACATGGGAGATGGAACGCAGACACATCTATGATGAAATTTAATAGAAATACGGGTAGTGGGCATCCCTGATGGACACTAGTGGTGTCTGTCCACTATCCAAGTTGACTGATTGCGTCTCAACGTGAGACTTACACAAAACTGTAGCACTTCAAGTTGCCACACTTCAGGTGGCACACAAAGGTAGAGAAAACAAAGAGAACAGAAATTCAAGTGAACTATAGTGAGCAGAAACACACGGGAGAAAGAATAGTTACGTGGGAAAACCACAGGGATTTAGTGGATCTTGGAGTGTATGCATCTGCACCACTGAGAACGATTTCAGTCATGTTACCAAATAGTCTCTAGCCATTGATTCTTAAAATCCCGAGGATTCCCGCCACCTTAGCAGTCTACACCTCCTTACGTGGATGGTTCAAATCGGCAATCGAAGACTTAACGTATGATGCCACATTCCAATTCCACCCCGCCCACCCCCTCTTCTAACTCATTTTCAACCTAGCCCTATGTCAACTAGCATTCCGTTCTGAACGAATATCTGAAATAGAATCAAATTAAAAATGGGCGTTTCGAATTCATTCAAATAAAAACTCGCTACAATCATCAAACATAAAAATGACGATTTTAACCATTCAAACACAAAACAAAAAAGAATACAAACAACTTACTTGAAGGGCGTTTAAAAGAACATCACCTGATACTGTTTTTGGTGCTACTGCGCCATCAACTTTAAGTGAACTTGATGAAAAGTTATTCATAGGGCCAGGGGTACTGCAGAATGCAGCGGGTGGACATCCACCTATCATGTGATCCTTAGGCTCAACAACAACAGAATTTGGAATGCAATCAGATTGAGTAATATTTTCTTGATTAACTATAAATATTAATTCAAATATAATATTGAATCACTTACGTTTTGGCATTTGATCTGTTATAAATTACCTAACACCAGGGACTATATCTTGTTGTTTCTCTTTCCGTTTTCCTCTATAAAATGATAAATACATCATAAGTGGAAATTTATCACAAACTTTACTCGGATTGGTTCAATGTAAGACTCGGAAAACAAATCACCTGTACTGTTAAATACATCTGTCTGTCTGGATTTAACGTAGAACTTGGCACCGAAGTGCAGAAGTTCGAGTTGCCACCTTCCAAATAGCACACAAAGGTAGACAAGAAGATGAGTGAAGAGAATCAATAGTTTGACATGTATAAGAGCGAAACAGAATGGGTAATGGTAGAAAGAAATATGAAAGATTACAGAGACTGAATACATCTGCGCCATTGACAACGATTTTGAGCCATGTCACCTATTGTCTCCAGCCATTGATTCCTAGAGTCCCGAGGACCCCAACCCGGGAGTCTGCATCTCCCTACCTGACTCAGTTTAACTGTCAAGGATTTTACGGATTGATGCCGTGTTTTGCTTTGGCCACCACTTACTCTTTTTCAACCTGTCTGTCTGTCTGTCTGGATTCAACATAGAACTTGGCACCGAAGTGCAGAAGTTCGAGTTGCCACGTTCCAAATAGCCCACAGAGGTAGACAAGAAGATGAGTGAAGAGAATCAATAGAGTTTGACAAATATAAGAGTGAAACAGAATGGGTAATGGTAGAAAGGAATATGAAATAATTACAGAGACTGAATACATCTGCGCCATTGACAACGATTTTGAGCCATGTCACCTATTGTCTCCAGCCATTGATTCCTAGAGTCCCGAGGACCCCAACCCGGGAGTCTGCATCTCCCTACCTGACTCAGTTTAACTGTCAAGGATTTCATGGATTGATGCCATGTTTTTGTTTGGCCACCACTGGCTCTTTTCCAACCTGAACCTATGTCAGCTAGCAATGCCCGTCGGGGGAGGCGGTGGTTAGGCATGCGCAGCACGTGACCTAGCCATCTTAGTCTATGTAACTTTATAGCCTCGTCGATTGATTTTCCCTCTTTGCCCAACACTCTACGCCTAACGTCAACATTACTTATCTTGTGAAACCACCTAACGTGAGACAGGGATCGCAGACATCTATGATCGAAAGCAGTTAACCTTTTCATGTCTTCAACGCGTATTGGCCATGTTTCAGAGCCATAGAGAAGGACGGAGCGAACTGCTGAGCAGTACACACGTCCCTTGGTTGATAACCGGATGTCACGCCTACGCCAGAGATGGTGTAAGTCAGCGAAAGCAGCTCGAGCTTTCCGGATCCGTGCTGAGATTTCATCGCCAATCAGTCCGTTGGTGCTAATACAACTTCCCAAGTAGGTGAAGTGGTCAACATGTTCTATCACTTCACTCCCTGTCACTAAGTTAGGGGTTGACGTGGTCCAGTCCTGTAGCAGCATCTTACATTTTGCAGGGGCGAATCGCATGCCAAACATACGAAGATTGCTGCTCAAGGTGTTCAGAAGACTCTGCATTTTGTCAGCATCCTCCCCTAACAGGACTATGTCATCTGCATATTCTAAGTCCATTAGATTATTCCCTGGTAATAAGTCGATTCCTAAGTCACTACGTTCAGTTAAGGATACTTCCGTTAGCATATCTATGACGAAGTTAAACAGAAATGGGGAAAGTGGACATCCCTGTCGGACACCACTGGTTCCCGACCGAAAGCTGCTACCTTGACGTGGTGGTCGGGCTTGAACACCGCAATGACCTAATCAAGCTATACTGGCTGAGACTTATGTCTCTTGAGGTTCTACCATGCCAGGCAGGTTGTTTGGATAGCGGTTAAACAAAAAGCAGCTACCTCATCCAATACCATGATCCAAACAAATTCACAAAATTTCATGCCGGATCGGCCGTGGCCCGGATTAACAACGACCGCGCTTCCTGCTGCCGTGTCACAGGGTGGGAGTGATAAGTATGCTACTGAGGCACACAAAACAACGAAGAACGAACAAAAACAGGCCGCGTGTGACCGGCCACAAGCAGTTGTCCCCTGGGCTCTGCGGTCACGCAACCAACTTCCACGGTGTGGGCAGCCGGGAAGTAACAATCGCCCTCACAATCCAAAACGCACACAAAACCTACGTGGCTTAGACTAACTGTTGTGGATTTCATTGACTAGTGCCATGTTTTGGTTTGACCTCCGCTAGCTCTTTTCCAGCCTGACCCTATGTCAGCTAACATTGCGATAACTAGGCAATCGTAACACATGTCCTAACCATCTCAGTCGATGTAGCTTCACAGCTTTGTCAATTGATTTCCCCTCCTTACGTAGAACTCGACGCCTAACCTCAATATTGCTCACCCTACTACACCTACCACTTCACACGGGAGATAGAGCTCAGGCACCTATGATCAAAGACAGCTAATCTTTTCATGTCTTCCACTCTCAGTGGCCAGGTCTCACAGCCATATATATATATATATATATAATCCACTGTTTCAACCAGGGGAATATTGGTAAATAGTAACGTCAAATCCAACGATAACATGATTTTATCTTTAATGTTGTCAACAAAAGTGAAGACATCTTTTACACTATGTTTAACCTACTCCCGATGTAGCGGCTCAAACAGATTTACCAGTCATTTATTCAGATGTTCAATGAAATAGTGAATTTGACATATCAAGAATGGGACATTTTCCTAGCTAAATTGGAGAATGTTCCTCTAAGAGAGGTGTTAAACAAAGCTGAATATTATTGCGTTATGCAGACGATACATTCATCGGTTGTGTCAATATTCTGGATAATTGACATCTGATGCAGTCCAGTAATAATGCGTACCCGGTAATTAAATTCCTTTGCGAAGAAGAATATCAAGGAAGTATTTCTTTTTCGAATGTTCTTACCAAAACGCCAGACAGCACATTGAAGCGAATCAACTACAGAAAAGCGACATGAAACGGACAATATATCCATTTCCATGGTTTCATACCCGTACAATATAAACGGAACTTGGTCCATAGTCTTAGTCATAGAATTAGGCGCATATATACTGAAGATTGTTTTGAAGATGAAATCAAAAATCTTAAAAATATCCTTCTACCAATTTTGTGAAAAAGTGTATTTCCAAAAGAAGTGATAAAATTAAGCGTGACACAGTGAATAAGAAAAACCCTTATTTAAGAGTACAGTTCAAAGGTGATATAAGCAGTGATATATTAAGCCGTAGGTTGATCAGATAAGTTGAAAGAACTTTCAGTTCCACAAAACTAACTACCCGTCAGTTTCTCAACCAGATCCTTACTGACATTGCACAAAAAGATAAATTATCTAAGATGGTCACATCAATGTGTCTGATAGGACTTAGCATAAAATATTATAATACGATATCATACAGTCACATGCCAACCTTTGCCTTTTGATATTAGCGTTGCTCAGTGAATCAGAAGGTACAACGGTCGAGTTCATTATCGCCAAAGTAATTAACGGTCGCGGACATAACTAAGAAGCAACGGGTTTATTCAGTTCATTTCAGTCATAACAGTGTCATTGTACAAGTTCAACTGCTCATGTGGAGCTAGTTATATAGGTCGGACTCAGAGAACTATTCATCCTTGCACGTTTGAGAACATGTTCCTGTTTGACTTGGAAAAACCATAACCAAATCAATAAACAGTGCCATTTTGTCTCATCGTTTTGGTTGTGAACACTACATCAAAATAGATAAGTCATTTACGGTTGTATATCGAGTAAGTACCAAATAATCTGCCTAAAGACACACGATTACATCTCCTAGCTCTAGCGGAAACTATAGAGATTAATAAGAAAAAAACTGACCTATGTGTGAAAAAATGGAGCATTCATTCTCTTTGTTTACCCTAGCCTATTACAGGGTCAACAGCATCATAATCATATTTTCATGTCATATACTATGCCTTCTTATTCCTTCTCACCTAGTTCACTGTACTCCATTATTACCTTTATTATGTGTCGACCCAGTTTATAATTTATACTAAACTTAATATATATTATGCCTCTAGTATTTTATTACAGTTCATCATTTAACCTCTTTATGTAATTGTATCACTACACTACAGCCCTTACTTGAACCTACATTCATTGTTCCCCATTTTTTGGTATTTGTTTGTATGTATTTTATGGTAGTTATTTTCCTTTCACACCATTGAATATAGTTTACTCCCACCCCCAAATTAAACATTCTATTGACTATAAATTACATTAGTATGTCAACCTTTTATGTATTCACACTTTGTCTCTATGTTCCGCATGACTGCATATTTTTTATATACGTTCATTTAACAACATTAAATAACGAAATATCACTCCATATTATATACATCTACCTCAACAATACAGTTTCCGATATAATTTCTATATGCCTTCAATGGCTATATGTATTATAATGAGATCATGGATTTCTAACTGTGTAGAGCCTGAAGAATAATTTATCGAATCGCTTATCGTGTTTTGATTAGCCTATGGGGATTTTTAATTTACATCCATTTTTTCAGTTGTAATACCACTTAGTTCCTGTTTTGTTTTGGAGGTGTATAAATTCAAATTAATGAACTTTTATGCTATGCTATATTCCACATTAATTTGTCATTTATGGGCACTTAACAGTATTTAATATCATTTGTACTGTGAGAAAGTCTTTGCTTGCTGTTGTTGTTGTGGAGATTCGTTTGTGAATCATTCACCTAATGGCAACCACACAGACTTAACTTAACCACCGCCTCCCCCGACGGGCTTTGCTAGCTGATATAGGTTCAGGTTGGAAAAGAGCCAGTGGTGGCCAAACAAAAACATGGCATCAATCCATGAAATCCTTGACAGTTAAACTGAGTCAGGTAGGGAGATGCAGACTCCCGGGTTGGGGCCCTCGGGACTCTAGGAATCAATGGCTGGAGACAGTAGGTGACATGGCTCAAAATCGTTGTCAATGGCGCAGATGTATTCAGTCTCTGTAATCTTTCATATTCCTTTCTACAATTACCCATTCTGT